GACCTTGGAGTAGACAAGGTGAAGCCGTATCTCCCGGTGATCATAGATCCTCTGTTCCGAGAACTGAACAGCACCTATTCGGACCAGGGTAACTGTGGCCTCTCTTCTGAATACTTGCACCTCTCCCTGAGTGCTTTCTTCTTTTCTGTCCTCCCTCCTTCAGAGTGTAAGAAAAAGAACTTGCTAAACATCAAGATAATTGATACCAAAAAATAAGGCGTGTTTGTGCTGTATTTCACTACCTTCCCTTATACTTTCTCATGTCTAAGAGTGAATGTTCCTTAAGAGATATTTTACTCCTAAGCGTAAATACTCAAAGGAAACTATAAATTGAGGTGGTTCTGAACCTCATAGTGCTATAAATAATGAACAATGAAATGTCATTATATTCTCAAGAATTATAAGGCAAAAGCATGAAATAGTATTTAAGTACTTTTTAATATTTTTTTCCTTTCCTGGTGCATTTGGTGCATCAGCCTCACTTATCCTAAAATGCCTATTTTGATACTAGGAAAAGTGGAAATTGGGGGCTGGAAAGAGAAGGTAGATATTCCACAGTTTTAAAATAAAACAATGATGTGTGTTGGTCCTAAAACCCTGAAAGTTTCCTTCCTCTTTAAAGAGGAAAAAGCAGTGGTAAAGGTTGGGTCTGCTTTGGTTCTCATCAGCCAACATTTACTGAGCACCTAATATTTGCCAGGCATTAGGGTTCAATAATGAGAAAAGGCCTATTGCCTATTTTCAAAAAACTTGAACAGGTATGCTGAACTCTCCTGAAACTGATGCAAAAATCTGTAAGTGATTTGCATTCGGGGGAAAGAAGGCAGGGAAAGACGGGCGAGCGTAGCTTTTCATCAGCTTCACAAAGGAATCTTTAATACTCTACCCTCCCACCCCCAAATGTTATGGCCAGAGCTAAGCCTCTGTGACCTGTGAATTAGAGAGGGTCTAGAGAAACATCCTTACCTGCCCCCATCTGCAGCGATGAGCAGATTAACAAAGGTAACCAAAAACTGCTGTCTCGTTCTCAAAATAAGGTCTTCTGAGCCCAGAGTCCACTAGAAGTGGACATCCCTCCTTGCATCCTGGATGAGGTGGTGGCTGGGAGCTGTGTCCAACACTTCTGGTTCTCTCATCTCAGAAATGTAGGGATTGGTGTCAGATTAGCGCTTAATGTTGAATAAAAGTGATAATGCCGCAGTTTAAACCGCGCATGTTAATTTTATAAATATTCAGATGTATCCTTCCCTACATCACTGACTCTCTGATTATTACTTTTTGTGTGATTAGATCCTTCGCTGAAGAATCTATCCCAGGAAATCATAGAATTACTTAAAAAGCTGGTTGGGCTGGAGAGCTTCTCATTAGCCTTCGCGTCTGTTCAGAAACAGGCTAGTGAGAAAAGGGCACTCCGGAAGAAGAGAAAGGCTTTGGAGGTGAGTCTGCTGTTTGAAATATGACGTGACCTGTATGTTAGGCTTAGTAACTATTTTTAACTGGGGCTGTGTGCACACACGTGCATCACACCTACCCAGGGAGGAAAGAGGAACTTACCCAAGTGTCTGAGAAGTGGGGGCTTTATCGCTGGGGCTCCAGATATACTTTGGTGGCCGTGTAAACACTTGTGTTTAGAGGTGAATAAAATGGTCTGTATGTGCATTTGATTTTTATTGGTTTAACATTCACTTTTAAAGTAATAGAAAATTTCTATTCTTTTTTCAAGTTCGTAACTAACCCCGATATTGCTGCCAAGAAGAAGCTGAAGAAACACAAAAATAAAGGTGAAGCAAAGAAAAGGAAGATAGAGCTCCTGCGTCCGGGCTACAAGGCCAAGAGACAAAAGAGCCACAGCCTGAAAGACTTAGCGATGGTGGAGTGACGTGCTCCCCGAGCGGACAGTGTCTCAGCGTCTCGGCGTGCCCCACAGTGTGAACTCCTCGGTGTATCTGCCTGTCGGATACCACAGCAGGCTTTGTTATTTAAGCTGAACTTTCTCAGAGATTGTATAGTATATAGTTTAATATAATTATGCTCTTATTTTTTAATTAAAACATTTCATACTTCTACTGTATCTTCACTGTCTAAAAAGCATGTGATACTAGCAATGAAGTTGAAAAAAGTTTAAAGATACACTTTAAATAGCAAGACAAAATGTATAAGTTAGGAGTAAATCGAACAAATGATTTACGATACCATTCTGGAGGAAACTGTGATACTTCATCAAAGGACATTCAGAAAAATCTGCACAAATAGAGAAGTACAACCAGGCTCATGGATGGGAAGAGTCAGTGTCATAAGGCGCTGGTTCTCCGAGGCCGAATCCCACTGGTTAAGTGCATATCGGAGCAAAATCCCCAGAATTTTCCATATTATCCTAACAAGCTGATTATTCTAAAATTTTTACAGAAGAGAAGCTGAACACTGCCATCATGCTCTTAAAAGAGAACAGGATAAGGGGCTTTTCCTGTGAGATATCCAGAGAGATACAAAAAGTGCTGTCCGTGAAGGGAACACGTCATAAACTTTACTTCACTGACACCGAGGACTTCTTAGGACAAGATGGAACTGGGATATGGTCTATTCTGATAAAGGATCACAGTGAATCTATGAATCAACAAAGATAACACAAAAAAGTGGCAAAAGAAATAAGCAATGCACAGAGAAAATACAAATGGTCCTTAAACGTTAACGCTCAGCTGACATGTAAAGTTATGTACACACCGGTTGGTAAATAGTTACTACCTTGAGACCCCTAAGTGTACCTCAGCTGCCTGAGTCCCTAGACTCAGGATCTCCACCCACACCAGAAATTAAAGGGCCAGTACCTGCAGGGGTCCTCCTGCATCAGCTGTGTCTAGTAGTTAAATATTTTTAACCACTCCTGTATTTAGCCTCATTAATTGGTAAAATTGAAAATTTAACACCAGAATGAAATTCCATTTTGAAAACTTCAGATCGGTCAAGTCGATGACAACAGTGTTGGCGAGCAGAGGGAACTCTCATAACCCACTTTGGAAGGTAATTTGGCATCATCTTGTTCAATCTGTGTTGTCTTCCCTCATTCTGCACTTGCTGTGGAAGCAGTCTGCTTCAGGGCTCAATGCAACAGGAAGGGGTTGGGGAGGAAGAGCCACCTGACATGCCAGGCATTTCGCATTTTTTTAATCCTCTTGGTACTCCTCAGAGCTTCCTAAAATTGGTTATTTTACAGGCGAGGAAACTGAGACTTGGATTAAATAATTTACCTAAGGGTGACCTAGGTTGAAGGTGGCACAATTAAGATGCAAACCCAGGACTGAAAGTCTGTGCTCCTTATAATTATGGGGTTAGAATATTATAGCAGATGGCATGGGAATCAAATGTTCAAACATTCGTAACTTCACCTGTGTTTAAAGTGCATATATTGCTTTTATACCAAAAGCAAAAGTTAATACTAAGGCAAAAATCAGAACAAGTATCTCAGGTATACTGAGCAGTTTTGTTTTAATCAGCATTTACTGAGTGGCTGCTGGTGTGGCTCAGTGGATTGGGTGCTGGCCTGCAAACCAAAGGGTCGCTGGTTTGATTCCTAGTCAGGGCACATACCTGAGTTGCGGGCCAGGTCCCCAGTAAGGTGCACATGAGAAGCAACCACATGTTGATGTTTCTCTCCCTCTATTGCCTTCCCTTCCCCTCTCTCTAAATAAGGAAAATCTTGGGGGGTGGGGGCAAGTTATGGTCCCTGCCCTCGAGCTTATGTTTCCAAAGTTTAAAGTGCATCTCAAGTATCCTGAAAACAGAATTCCACCACTCTCAATTTCTTTTTCAGTGTAATCACATCATAGCACACCTACTGACATTATAAAATAGAATGTTAAAGCTAAAACAAATCTTTGATATTACTTGGCAAAGTCTTGTTTTAGAGAGTGTGGGGAACTGAGTGGCCATTTGTGCCTAGAACTTGATTTTTTGTTTTTCGTTTTTAAAAATACCAACATGCAGTCTCCTGTAACACCTGTATAGTTGCTTCCTACTCAAAAAGAACCTTCTTTATAATTTATACCATATTAAAATAAGCATATATTCTTATACCCCTCCTAGCCTTTGTGATAAACTGGAGACATCAGGATCATCCAAGGTCATCCCTTGGCTACAGCTTCATGGGTCTTCCTCAGAATTCAAGATTGCAAGGCCCCAGTGCCAGACAGCACCTGCCAGCCAGGGCCTCACTTCCCCATCCTTGTGTTCTCACAGTGATTCTGAACTTCTCCACTTGACACTGACAGCAAATTAGGACCAAGTGCTGGGGAATAAGAAGACTAAGTCCCACAGGCAAAACGAGAAAGCCACATTCACTTGAGCTGAGAGAATGACCACAGGTGTAAGGGAAGGAGGCCAGAGGCCAACATCTGGTAGGACAGTGCTGGGGTCAGGAGAATGAACCTCGGGTTTCTGAAACAAGGTGCACAATGGTGTTAAGCTCACTTTACCAGCATCTGATTTTTTTAAATGCTAGCTGTTCAACTTAAAAAATGAAAAAATTGCCATGGCTGATGTGGCTCAATGGATTGAGTGCTGGTCTGCAAACCAAAGGGTGGCCAGTTCAATTCCCAGTCAGGGCACATGCCTGGGTGGCAGGCCAGGTCCCCAGTTGGGGATGTGTAAGAGGCAACCAACTGATGTTTCTCTCCCTTTCTCCTTCCCTTCCCCTCTCCCTAAAAGTAAATAAAATCTCTTAACAAAATTAAAGAATTAAAAAATTTCTCCCCATTTTTAGTGATTACTGAGGGCTATGTCTCTTTGCACACTGCAGCCAGTCCCGCCTGTGGTAGAGCTGGGCAGTCTGAAAAGCTCCTTTGAACATAAATTTTTGATAGCCTAGTGGTAAACCTAATTTTTAAAACCAAGAATGCTTAATTTCTCCCTGTAAAGCCAACATGATGTTGACTTCACCAAACTTACATGTCCAATAAAAAGTAGATAAAAGGAATGAAAGACAGTAAAGACATCTTTCACAATGCTTCTTAAAATACATCTTTTTTATTTCCTTCAGCACGTATTTTTTCTTTAATGGGTTGTGAATTCATCAAATATGACCACTTAGGATTGCTTTTGCTACCTCTACTTAGTATGGACAAATAAATTTACAGACATTATTTTGAATGTACAGAGTCTCCTTCAGTTACCATAATTTTACTTAAGGAGGTATGTCATCTGTGTTGCACAGATGACATTTTCAGCAACTTAAGGTGTAGTTCACGGGACCAGCTTCTGACCCTGACCCTGAAGTCTCATCCTGAGCTCTGCTCCCAGCTCACTAGCAGTCGGGCAAGCCAGCCTAGCAAGCCGAGATGCCACACGTCCCTCAACATTACTTTACAACCCATCCTACCGACATCACAGGGTTCCTGCACAAACTGACTAGGTCAAGATACGTAAAAACCTTTTCAACAACTATATAAAGTACTATAAAATGATAATTACAGATGAGTCAGTGAAGTTAACCACCAAAATAATTATTTCAACTTCATGCCGATAACCAAAAGCTTTTAAATGGAACAGCTTAAATAAAGTGGTCATTTAAGTAAATGAAAACTATATTGCCCACACTACATTTCTACACTACTCTATTGAGTCTACCTTTTGGAAAAACTTAATTCATTTTAGAGGAAAAATATCTGAGCTACGATATTTATTAGTGTTTATACAAACAACCTGTAACTGCTAATTCAAAAATAGGGTTTTTTCCCTCAATTAGAGCACATTCTTTAAATAGGACTGCATTTGAATAAGAATTCCACACAAATAGAATATATACCCTTAACACAAGAAAGGAAGGAATATTTTACATTACACAGGCCAGATATTCAGCTGGTTCGATCACGATGGGTACCCTTCCTACCAAATACTTATTTTTCATATTTATTACAAATGCTGTGGTCAGTTCAGTATACGCCAACAATCACACACAGTTCTAGCATTTAGTAGTGTGAAGCACACCAGCTGTTTCCATGGGGATACATGATACGGTCTTCATTTCAGGGGCGCAGAAGTGACTGAATTACTGTCTGCTTTTTAATGTTTCAACTAACCTGTGAAGAGAAAATAAATGGTTTCATAAAATTAACTTCAAACTTTCAGGTATAGAGTATGATCATTTATAAATTTTAAAATGGAGGTGAATTCCAAAGCACTTTAGATGATGAAGGCTAAGATAGTTATATTAGAAAATGATGTTATAGACTCAATTTCAAAGAGGGTCTTTTAGCATTCACTTTGTCTATGCTTTGAATGAATAATCCAAAAAACCAAGTATCTACTTTCCAGGCTGCTGCTTCTACAGCCAGTCAGTTCAGTGGTGAAAACTAGTCTCTGTCCTCAAGAAGCTGATACATCTAACAAGGAGGTGCACAAGTCAATCACAGGACAGTGTAACAAGTGCTACACCACTGATCTGTGCCTAGAACATCCACGTGTGTGGCAGGCAGTGGGCATGAGACACATCAGGGACGACTCTTGAAGAGGACAGCCTTAACCCAAGTCCTGAAGGGTAAAGAATTAGAGGGCGAAGTGAGGCAGGAAAAAGACGAAAGTGGCAGAAAGTTGGCTTATCTAACTGATCAGGTAGGTGTGGTTGAAATAAAAGCCGATGCACATTAAGTGGAAGATAACGCTGGAGGAACTTAACGTGATAAGCTGCTAAGTAATTTAAATTTCATCTTTAAGACAAAACGGGAAGTTACATGTGTACACAGCTGCACACACACAACACACACATATGCACAGGTGGCTTCTGGAAACATGATGCTTACCATTCCATTGCCTCATCAAGGCCAGTGCCTTTGGTTGCTGAAGTTTTGAATATCTGCCATTTTCGGTCCTTCAAGGCAGGTAGTCCCAGTGCATTTGCCATCTCTGAGGGAGTCATGGCCTGTTCCATGTCCTGCTTATTTGCAAACACCACCAAAATGGCTTTTCTCAGCTCTTCTTCCTAAGTTAAACAGAAGATATTTAATTTCCTTTAATCAGTGTGCTCGCTGGAGTTTAGAAAGACATGCCAAAAAATTTATTTTAAAAGTACATTTCCTAATTATTAATATGTAATGACCAGTATAAATGATTTGAAATTACAGAGAAGTATGAAGAAAAGAAGCTTCACCCATAATCCGACCTCCCAAACATGATCACTGTTAAAATTCTGGGTATTTTTTACTGCTTTGTAATTCAGGTATTTATAGTTTACTTGACAGATAGATTTATACACTTAATCACATTTACATATAGTTCCATACCTTGCTCTATGAAGTTTATTTAAACTAAACATTAAATTCTGGATGATTTTCCAAACAATCAAAATTTTTTTTAAAAAAGTTAAATATACTGTAAACTATGATTACATGTACCATAAACTAACTTTTCCAGTATTAAACTCTTTTTGGATGTTTTTCATTTAATTATTAGAGAAACCCAAGTGACCCAAGTCATTATATAAAAGTCTTTGTATAAATCTCTATTTCTTTAACATAATTCTCTAAAAATGGAATCAAAGTACGAAATGTTTCCAGTGTCTTGTTACATACATAAACAAACTGCTATCCAGAAAAGCTGTAATGTTTTGACTCCACCCACAGTATATGACAGTGCCTATCTGTAATTCAGCCTTGGTACAACTGGAAATTATGTATTTTTCCAGACACAGCATCTCATTATATGATTATTGGGGTGTTAAAAATATAAATGTTACCAGCAATACATTTTTCTCCTGTGAACTGTGGGTCGATGCCTTATGCTCACTTATCCAATGAGTGGCAGAGGTCATTATGATTAAAACCACCGATCCTCAGTCTCCGGCTGTAAAACACTGTCCCGGTTCCCTGTTCCCGGCTTCACTTTAGTTCCCATTATCTAGCCGATGAGCTTTGGGGGATTTTTAGATGTATTATTAGAATTAAATCTCTCTTCTTTGTAATTCCTTCCAACGCTTTGATTTAGAAAGCCCTTTCTTATCCAGAAACTTTATACATATTTACTTATATACTGTTATAACAACCATTTTTACACTTAATTCTCTATACCATTTAGAATTTATTTTTGTGCACAAAGAAGGTAAAATAAAATAATTATGTGTAAGTTTTTTAAATTTAATCCTCACCCCAGGATATGTTTATTGATTTGGGAGATAGAGGGGAGAAGGGGAGAGAGAGAGAGAGAGAGAAACATCAACATTGTGATGTGAGAAAGAAACATCGACTGGTTGCCTCCCATCTGCACCCTGACTGAGGATCGAACATGCAACCTTCCAGGGCACAGGACGGCACTCCAACCAACTGAGCCACTCCACCAGGGCCGTGTCAATAAGTTTTGATGTAATAGTCCTGACTCATACTTTACCTGTACTTTATATTACATAATAAATATGTGTTGATTGAAAGTTAACTGCTAAAGAATAATTTTTAGTTCTTAGTCCATAAATTTATGCAAGTCAAATCCTAACAACAAAAATAACCTACCAACAATCTAGCACAACTTGAGAATTGTAAAATTGACATTAATAATCCATTTCTTTTAAGCAAAACTTTATATGATAAAAATGCATTATACCATGTGAATTACATCAGAACAAAGCTTTTATTTTTTAAAACCCATCATACCCAAGGCAATTAAACATCCCTTAAAATTCCTTATATTTGAATTTGGTCTAAGAAACTCTTATGATAAATACTACGCAATTTTGTTTTAAAAAAATCCAAAGTTCAGTGACTTGTAAGTCATTAACAAGTCAGACATCCAAAGTATTCTGAGAATACTTCTACCCGGGAAATCAAGTGGCCTAGAACATTTGATGACTACATAATTCATAATCATAATTTTGTTGAGAAGAAATTGAATTTTCATGAGCATAGGCAATTTCATTATTAATAAGTTAATCATTAATACATTTGAAAAGTTTATTTAACAAGTGGAGGTTTTTTTAACTTTAAATTGATTATTTAATACAGCCTCTGAATTCAGTCAGCCAGCCAATAAATAATCTTACGAATCTCAGCGAATGCAATGTATGGAGTTCTTAAGTGCTGTACACTGTTCCACATACAAGGGATACTAGGGTAAATTTGAAGAACTTACATTTTAGGGTGCAAGATATATATAATTAAACAAAATATATTTTTAAATAATGGAAAGAAATGATAAATGGTACAAAGAACAAAGTAGAATATGGGATCAGAAAACAACAGACTCCTCTCTGGGGCAGGAACATGGATGATGAAATACATCACTAAGATAGTCATACAAAGGTTTGGGGGGGCAGAGGAGAGCATTCCACGCAGGATGAGCAAATGCAAAAGACCCTAAGCCCGGTGTCGCGTGTGAAGCTGGGCGCATTCAAAGAACAGGAAGGTCAGTGTGGCTGAGGCACAGGGAAGAGTAAAGAATGATAAAGCTGGGAGAGATGAGCGGGGATCAGAATTATGCCAGAAATCCAGAAATCCATTTCTCTTTAATAGTTCTGTAGCAAACAAACATGCTTATTATTTATACCCATATCTGTGTGCATAAACTAATTTATATAACTAGAAATACATTTTTCTAAAAAATCACTTCATAGGAGTCACAGAATAGTTCAGTTTTAAAAAAATTCAATTCTGAACTTCCTGGGAATCAAGGATTCTCATTTAAAGAAAGTCACAAGGCTGGATATTTTTTTGTCTGTGATCATCTATCCAACAGTGTTTCTGGAATAGGAAGTAATACACATAAAAGAAAATGATAATAAAATCATGGTGGGAAATATTCCTACTTTCCTTTTAATGATTCCTGCATGTAATAATAAACAGTGAAAACAGCAAGCAACTGTAAATGATTTCCCCACATCTCTGTAAGATTTTCTTACCTCCAACATGGCAACTAACTCTGATTTAGAAATGCCAATTCGGTCTCGGTCACAACTGTCTACTACATAAATCACTGCATCTGTGTTTGAATAATAGCATCTCCAGTATGGCCTAGAGAAAATTCAGAAAGAGAGAATATATTATTATTTGAAAAAAAGAAACTGTTATGTTAATTTATACACTAGGATTTGGCAATTATGGTGGGGGTTACGTGCCAATCCTGCCCCACCCATGTTAGAATCAATGCCATAATGAGGCATTGCTTCTAACTGATCTATATATCATATCCCTGAGACATGGCGGTGGAAAGAATGTTGATAAACATTAAATCACAGGACCAAGGAATTCAGACTTAGGCTGAGAGAATATATTCAAAACCTATTAAACCACTAAATGTACAGACAAAAAAGTTGTACTCGACCTAATCATTACATCTTTAAATTTTTAACTAAGAACTCTTTAAGAGGAATGGATTCTTTAAAAAAATTGTTTAATGACTTTATATAATAATAGGCATTAAACTGTTCACTAAAGATACCAAGAAGTAGAATGGCTAAAGTTAGAACCAGACTCAAAAGTCATTCAAGGAATAATATAAGTTAAAGGGAAACAGGACGTTTGGGAAACGCACTGCTAACCTCTTAATATGACACCACAGTGAGCAACCACTGACGGTCACTGAACAGTCACCACTGCCGGGTCGAGCACAGAGTGCCGGGCGGAAGACCTGAGCTCCAGAGGGCATCTGTGTTCACATCAGCCCAAAGCAGTGGCTCTGGGAGGTATTTTTATGAAATGTAAAATAGTCTGTCTCACAGAGGAAAGGGACAAGAACTAAATGGAGGACTCTTTTAGTGAAAAATTAGATCTTGAAATTCTTATGAAAATATTTTTTATTAAGTGGTAACTGAAAAACTGGTTTCCTTAAGATTATAATTCAGTGGAAAGAAGAGGCAGTTTTACCTCATTTTAAACTAAGTGGCTTCCATTTAAATGACAACAGAAGGTATATTTTGGTTTATTGCTGTTAACCCTACAAGAGCCAATCAACATTACATACCACAAAACAATCTGGTCTTTGTACCATACCTGATACTGGTCTGCCCTCCTAAATCCCAGACTTGGAATTTAAGGTTCTTGTATGTTACTGTCTCGACATTGAATCCAATAGCTGAAAGATAAGTCAGTGGTTTATGCAGACACTAATGCATTCTACCTTCAAAGTACCCCGGCTAATGGAGTTCCCACAACAAAGGGCAACTGTTGAATTACATTATTGGTTGAGATATTATTCCATTTAAGACAAGACAGTGTGCTATGCTACACACACACACACACACACACACACACACTCAATTACCAAGATGAGCACCACCCTTAGATTATATAAGAATCCCCAGTCACCTCTGCAAATATATAATTCTTAGCTCAATGGAAATTCTATTATGTTCAACTCCTCTAATACAGAACTAGCATAGAAGTGTTCAGGAAGTTATATTTAAAAAGAACAGCTGCAGGCATATTATGAAAATCTGAATTGTGGTAGGTGGCAAACAAACAAGGAACAAAACTAAGAAAGCCTGGACTCTAAATTTCAGTGGGCAAGGACACGGCAACGGCTGTATACTGCTTGATGGAAGCTGGGCTCTCTGAGGCTGGCAACCTCACAGACCCCCTGCGGACCTGCTCAAGCGCTCATCTGCAGTGAAGTCACAGCTCCATGGTCAAAGGGAGGTGTCCCATCCCTTTTCCCTGCCATTCTTCTTAGGGGAAGCCCTAGTACCACTCAGCTAAGGCAGGATACAACTGTTTTCATGGAAAGGAGTCTAAGGGGAAGTGCAGAGGATGCTAAAAAAGAACAAACTTAGGAGTTATATATACAAAGTTTACTAAGATTTTACAAGCTTGTGAAATCACATTACAAACTGATAGCTGTAACTAAACAATTCTTATTTTAGATTTAAGTTTATATTGGTAAATGATTCATAGGCATATGTGGCAAGTATGCCTTTTACAACCAAAAACATAACTATAACATAACAAATTAGAGTGAAAAACTAAGAAGCACGTTCGTAACGTCTCCCACAAATTAGGTGGGAGTGTCATCGCCACTGCCACCAACATTAGGAACACAACTTATGTGCCAAGGAGTGTCAATCAGCATTCCCTGAAAAGCCACCCACCAGACCATGTGCACTGCAGGTAAGATGACCAACACGCAGACACAGCAGTGATATCCAATTTTGAGAAGCAAAAACCAAGGGGACTGAAATTTATTGAAAGTAGCAAAAAGAAATAGAAGATGCCATAGAGTTTTAAAAGTTCTTTCATAAAAACTAGCTGCCTTCTTGTAATCTGGAAATTTAACTACTACTAAACACAGATATACCTTGAATGACAGAGTAACTTTAAAGGCATAATTTAAACACATGTTCTATCAACACCAGAACTTAGTTGAAATGTATTAAATCTATAAGGAAATTCAGGTCAACAAATGAAAAAAAGTATAAATAACAGGACAGTTTTCTTATGGAGTCAAACAGGACTACTTGAGAATATTTTTTCAAGATATCAACAAATAATTTATTTTTTTAAGATTTTATTTATTTTTAGAGAGAGGGTAAGGGAGAGAGAAAGAGAGGGAGAGAAATATCAACGTGTGGTTGCCTCTCATGCGCCCCTCACTGGGGACCCAGCCCACAACCCAGGCATGTGCCATGACTGGGAATGGAACCAGCCATCCCTCCTTTCACAGGCTGGCATTCAATCCACTGAGCCACACCCTCCAGAACAATCAACAATTAATTGTAAATTGAGACGTTTCTTCTCTTGATATTTTTAGGTCTAAGATTAATTCAACACTCAGACTTTTCAACTCAGATTTTACAACTAATCAATACAATTACTTAAGAGAAACTAATATTAATTAAAATACATAGTAACAAATTTAAGGAAAAAACCACTCCATAGGTAGTATCACTTAAAATCTATATAATTTTTTAAAGAGGTCTACCAAGTATTTGATACACTTTACATATTTCCCCACTCAAAACCAGTGGATATTTGTTATCTTCATTTTATCAATAAAGATAAAGAGATTGGCTCTCAATGAGATTAAGTGGCTTGAGTTCACTCAAGCAATTTTTAAAACAGCTCTAAAGGGCAAAATCCAATTGTGCCCAAAGGTCTATATAGTACACCAAACTGCTCAGTTACAGAAAAAAATGCATTATCAATACCATGCTCATAATGGAAGTTTACCATCATTTACAATCCTTATAATTACTTTATTATGTGTATTATTAATTCAGAAATACAGTTCTGTTAGATGGCAAACAGCCCCTACAATTTATCATACCAACACTTACTAGGAATGGTAGTAACGACTTCTCCAACCTGTAATCTGTACAAAATCGTAGTTTTTCCTGCTCCATCTAATCCCAAAATTAAAATCCTCATTTCCCGGGTTCCAAACAGACTTGAAAATATACTTGAGAAAAAGCCACCTTAAAAATAATAAAAGCAAAAAAATGTATTAAATATCATCTTATGAACTAGGTCCACAAAACATTTAATCTTGCCCTTTGACAGCTACACCAAATTAAATATTACATCACTTTCCTCAGTTCATAGATGAATATTTTCATCCTCCATTGAAATATATTATTCAACATCAAATAAGTAATTACTAATAGCATGTCCTAGATAATATATCAGGCAAGCACAGAAGATACACTAAAAATAAGAGAAATATGGAGCTCACTTTCTGGTCAAGAGAATGAGTGTGTTGGCATGATCCCCCCACTACCTCTAAAAACCAGAGGGCGAGTCCGAATGACAGTGGGACAATGAGACCCTCGCACACGAAAAGCAACTACTGTGGCCGTATAGCAGCAGTGCCATCATAACCACCTTCAATCACTAAGATTTCTATTAGCAAACCAGCACAAGAAATTGAGACACAGAAGCCCCGAATACTTGACAGAAAAATCATTAAAAATTAACAAAACTACATTCAATGCATCATGAAATATTCCCAGAAGGCTTCCTATATACAAGGTATGGTGTAATACAAAAGCACTTATCAGCAGAGAGGATGGTGGTTACCAGGGAAAGGGAAGGATGTACAAACTTTTGTTATAAAGTGAATAGTTCTGGAGATCGAATGTACTGCATGGCGACTACAGTTAATAATAATATAGTGTACACTTAGACTTTGTTAAGAAAGCTCTCTAGAGGTTTTCAGTGCACACACACACACAAAAGATAACTGTGTGAAGTAATGGATGTGTTAATATTTGATTGTGGTAATTATTTCACAAGGTATACAGATATCAAAATATATGTCGCACATCTGAAATACATACAATTTTTATTTGTCAATCATATAACAGCAAAGATGGAAACAATTAAAATTAAAAAATATTATTTGGGGGTGGGGGCTGGGTGGAGGTGGGCAAAGGGGCAGGGGAATGGGGACATCTGTAATAGTGTCAACAATAAAAATAAAGTAAAAAAAAACTTTAAAAAACTATTCTATATCTCAGCAGGGGCTCTTAGGAATGGATTGTGTTCAAGAAAACCTCTAAGGAAAATGGAAATTTAGAGTATTATTCTTTTTAAAACAAAAGAAGCTTAACTTTTTTTTCTTTTATGGTTACAAAAAAAAAAGCACCTTGGCTTGATTCCTTTCCACCAAAAACCCTGAGATTGAAAGGTACACTAAACAATATATAAAAGTTGAAGACAGAAGTGATGCCACTCAACAATACATGGTTGTTTGACAAAGAAATGACACAGTTAAGAGCTGGATAAGTGAACACACCATGGGCTCGATAACCTTGGGAAAGTGTAATAAAAGGGGTGGGACTTGGCAAAGTCTTTTCCATCTCTTACAGGCTTTAAAAAAAAAAAAAAGGCGGAAGAGCAAAACTGAAGGCGGTTCTGGAAAAAGACAGGAAAGTGCGTGTGATGTTCCAGAGCAGGAAGTAAAATCCCCAAAAAACCGTGGAGGGATTTAAGTAAGCTAAAGAATTTCCATCTTCATTTACAGAATTGTAAACAAGGTGCAGAATTTGTACTTCCCTTCCGCACTCCAGCAGGGAAGGAGGCTTCCCCTGCCGCTTGTGATGACCACGTCATTCTCTCAACTGGCACTTCAGAACTTGAGATTAACATTTCATTTACTAACCAATAATACCCTCCCCATTTCCTTCTCCATCTTACTCTATTCTCTACAGGAAAAGCTCCAGATAAGCAGACAACTGCCAAATTGGCTGCCACACCAAATTACGAGCAGCATCTCCCTTTGGATTTTTTTAAACCGATGCAGTCAGCGACCAGAGAGAGAACCAAGCTTCCACTATTGGGGCAGATCTCATCTTTTACCCAAGAACCCTCATGGCCAAGCTGTGCAAGACCGACTCTGCCCAGCAAGTCCAGCTAGGTCCGACGAGGAGGTGAGGGAAAGTTCGCGATCGAGGGCAAGACTTGGGGTTGGGCTCCCAGGGCGCAGTGCTGCTCGGCCTCGCGCGGCCCCCACCCCGACACCGCTGGGACGTAGAGAAACGAGCCGGGGCGGCCGTTCCAGGCAGGGTCCACCCCGGCAGCTGCAACACCAAGGTGAGCGAAGTCTTCAGCGACCCTCTCCTCCTCCCGACCCCCGCCTCGGCCGCAGCCACCTGAAGCGCGCCAGAGCGCCCGTCTCTCTCAGATCTCTCACCCATGGTGAAACGCCTGTCCGCCCTCGTCGATCGTCAGAGACAGGCCTCGGCAGCGACTCCTACTCGTATCCCGGCGCCGCCACCTCCGCTCGCCTCGGCCTCCGGCTCGGGCTCGGAGGCGGTTTCCTAGGAAGCCCGGTCCGCCAGTAACTTCCACGTCTGCCACCCGGCGGGGGCGGGAGCCAGCGGCCACTGCGGCTGCGCGCCGGGGCTGCGGCGGCCTCTGCGTTCGCGTCGTCGCTTTCGACGCAAGTTCGCTGCAAGCTGTGTTTGTAGGTACTGCGAAAGCCAGAAGAGGGAGGGAAAAAAAAAGTCAAGAATCCCCAGTGTGTCCTACTTCTACTTTCTTGGACGGGAAGGGCTTCCGAGATTTCATTTTAAATTCTAACACCAAAAAGTGGCGAATCCGCTAACCAGGAAGGCAAGTTGGGCTTCGATAAGCTGCCTGACTGGACGGGGGCGCAGTCTGCTGTTTCGGAAGAGTTGCTAGTACTGAAGTGCCCTGCGTGGGGGGTGACTCAAGTTGGCCTGGGTGCTTTCTCCGACAAGGCAATAGCACTACGTAATAATAATAGGAAGACCCCCTCCTCCCCCAATGTGCATCAGCCTTACACTTAAGGCTGCTAACGATATTTTTGGCGTCGCACTGGTCTGCAGGGTCAGCGTTAGAGGCCCTGCCCCCTTTATTCTACCTGACTATGCACCTGACCACCTTTCCGTGATTTGTAGTGTGGAATGTCTGGTCCAGATCATGGGAATTAGAGGCGGAGACCTGCTTCCTCTAGGGGCGTGGGCTGGGAGTAATGTAGGTCTTGGCAGTGAGGTGTGCGGGAGGAAGGCAGCAATGCTTGGAAAGTGGGGGAGACGGGATCCTCCTAAACTCATTGATTTTTTTTTTTTAGAAAGGTTGAGCATGCCTCTTGAAAATTCGTAAAGACAAAAAAAACTAAACTGCCTAGCTGTTCATCCTGAGTTCTCCCTAGAAGTAACTATTGTTAACACTTTCTTGGGTCTCCTTCCTAATATAATCTTTACATATTATGTATTTAATTCAAATAGATTTTCGTCCATTCCACAGAACTTTATGGGCTGCCTCTGTTTATTTGACTTCAGTTTTCAGACAGCTCCAGCTACCTAAACATGGAACTAGATTTGCTGGCGGCTCTTGGCTCCCCTTCTGCTCCCAAATCATAAGTTCGCAGGAATTTTTCTTGAAAGGAAAAGTTTGGAGCTTTTGTTTGTTTCTTTTTGTTGTTGTTGTTGTTGTTTGAGAAGGGGAGGGTTGGCCGACTTGTCACCTAAACACCTGGACCTTTAATGCTGTGCTTTGCCAGGGTTGCCTTATTCAGCTGCTGAACCTCAGCATGCTGTGATTCCACTGACCTTTCTCACCTATTGTTCATCCACCCCCAGACCCTCCTTTTGCCAAGATCAGCTGCTGCCACTTGGCACTTTTGGACCACTGCTTCTTCAAATTTGTATGTGTGTCAGATTTAAGTTTCCAGTGCAGTGCACATAGTTCCTTGAAAACAGATTCTCCTTGAAGGAGAACTAAAAGGAAAGATACTGCAAATTTTACATTCGCACGGCATAGTCTGAACCAAATAAGCAAATGAGACAAGGTTGTGTAAACCTAAGTGCTATATACAAATTAAGAAGTGTTAATACACACTCCCTAGTGTGGCCCAGTGAGTTGTGGGTGAGGACCTGGTTGGAGGTGCTCCAGAGGCAACCACACATTGCTGTTCTCTCCCTTTCTTTCTCCCTCTCTTTCCCTCTGGCTAAAAATAAATGACTAAAATCTTGTTTTAAAAAAGTGTTAATACTACTAGATAGCATTTTGACCTTTCATAATGTAGATTAAGCACCTAATTACAAGTCACTATGGAAACAATAGTGTGATTTAAAAAATCAGACCCTTAAACCCAAGGGTGTCAAACTCATTTTCGCCAGGGGCCACATCAGCCTCCCAGTTGCCTTCAAAGGGCTGAATGTAATTTCAGCTCCTTAACAGTTAAGGAGTAGTTACATTTATACAGTCCTAAAATTATTTCAGCCCTTTGAAGGCAAACTGGGAGGCTGATGTGGCCCCCATTGAAAATGAGTTTTGCACCCCTGCTTTAGGCAATTGATCAAGAACTTTATTTTCCAAAATTTATCCATTTAATTCTTTACTTTGTGAAGGTCTGGTCTAATTTCCTGGATGTATCAAAAAGAAAATGAAAACCTCTTCGCCATTCACTGAAAGCTTTGATGTAAAGATAAATCCCAACATACTAAGATTTAAGGTGTTACCTTTCAAATTTTTCTAAAGTAAGTTTTGGACAAATAACTTCTGACTATTTACTATGTTACACCTATGCTACACCTATGAAGTAGTCTAAAACAGTCTCTATTCTCAGAATTTCTAGCTCTTAGAGGCACTAATTAACCCAAACGTATTTAAGACAGAAAATTAAAATGGCTTCAAGGGGGTGGAGGAAGGCAGTCTAAGGGGGTTAAACAATAATGGAAAATACCATTTTAAAAAGTTTCATATCAGAAAAACACAAAATAACTTCAAAAAGCGAGACACCTATAAATAACAAAGCCACAAAGTGTCTAGAGAAATATAATCTTTGTTGGTGATTGCATCCCACCTCCACCATCTTCTCCCTGCCTTTTAATTCCTAAGACTACAGTCATTACTTTCACAGGAACACAATTTCCGATGTATAAATGCTATGTTAAGGTGATGAAAAATAAGGTAAGAAAACAACCATTTCATGTGTCTTCTCTGAATATCTAAAGACAGCCATTACACTTTAGGAAAGGTATACACCTTTAGGAAACACCAATTTTCAAAATGTAGTCATTCCTATTAATGTTGACCTGGTTTGATAGCTTCTGCTTCCTAAAATATACTTGAGGAAGGAGAATTATAGCAGCATTGTACAATTAAAGCTAGATGTTTAGACTGTAAGCCTATGGAATTTTATTTTTCAGACACGCATGTAGAATTGACCTCACCTCTTTCCATTCTTTGCTCAAATAGCACCCTATTTAAACTTGCAACCTACGCAACAGCCCCCTTATCCTGATTTTTTAATACAGCTTCCCACTAATATTATAATTTACGTATTTATTATGCTTAATATTTGTTGTCTACATCCTCTCACGTAGAATGTAACATTTTGAATGCAAATATCTATTTTGTGCTTGTAGTTGGACACGAAACATTTGTTGAGATAATTTTTTGAATCATAAAATAAGTTCCTAGGTCCAATGCCACGAACATTAGATCATTTGAACACATCTCATGTAATATTATTAAACTTGTTTCCTGAAATAGGCATATCTGAACCACTTGTCCTAACTTGTTAGGAGAGGCCAAGCTATCGTCCTCAAGAAAGTTGTCAATTAGAAGAGAAGCCACCAGGTGGTGGTATTGCTTCACATAAAGGCTCAGTAGAAAGCGATCCATTAGTCCACTCTATTAAAAGTTGAGTGGACAGTATCTTTTTCAAATTTCAAATCCTGTAGTTCAGTAATAATTTCCTGGATTTTAAAATGTCAATGTTTGAATGCAGTCCAAGCAAGTAAAACAATTGCAAAGCACTTATGACTATAAAGTCATAAAAAGACCAAGTAAATTCAGAATTTTAAAGCTAGAAGGAACCTCCATTCCAACTACTTCAACTACAGATAAACTGGAAACGAGGTAAGTGGCAGAGCCAGGACAGTGACTGTGATCATTTGGTTTGCAGGTCTGGGGCAACTAGATTATCATGCCTTTTGTAACGGAGCCATTTACCAAATGACTTACACATTTGGTAAATTGGTTTTCAAACACATGTCCATGCCTCAAGAATTAGCTCCTGTTTCCAAAGTTACAAATGCAACATTTCTGTTGTGATCCATTACCTTGTGGAACTTACATTTTTTTTGCTCAGATTTTATTCCCTGAAGCAGAAACCTATGGAATATAAGTATAAATATGTAAGTGTAACCAATATAAGCTTCAGAGGACTTACCTTACTATATATTTATAATTGCATTTTAAACTAAGTTGCATTTTAAAATCATAACAGGGCATGTGATTTTCACAAATTGAAATATGTATTGTATTTCAGATATTTCCTTTCATTAACATATATTTTGCCAACAGTGTTGAATTTCTCTTTACTAAGGGTTTTTTTTAATTGAAATATAATTCACATATAAAAATATTTACAATTTCTAAGTGTGCAAATCAATGGTTTACAGTATATCCATGAAGTCTGTTACTATCATTGCTAATTCCAAAACATTTTCATCACCCCAAACAGAAACACTATACCCATTAAGCAGTAACTCCTCACTTCCTTTGTCTCTACTAACCTCTAATCTACTTTCTGTCAGTATAAATTTGCCTTTTCTAGATATTTTATATAAGTGGAATCATACAATATTTATCCTTTTGTTTTGGCTTATTTTAGTTAACATAATGTTTTCAATTTTTATCCATAGCATGTGTCAGAACTTCATTCTCCTTTTTATGGCTGAGTAATATTCTAATGTGTAGATATATAATTGTTTTAATCCATTCATCAGTAGATGGACATTTGGGTTATTCCCACTTTTGGACTATTTGAATGATGATGTTATAAACATTTGTGTAGAAGTTTTTGTGGGAATATATGTTTTTAGTACTCTTGCATATATAACTAGGAGTGAAATTGCTGGGTCATATAGTAACTCTAACTTTTTGAGAAACTACCAAACTTTTCCACAATGGCTGTATTGTTTAGTGGAACAGTTTCCCACCATTTTGCATTTGCACCAACAGTGTTTCAGGGTTTTGATTGCTTCACATTCTTGCCAACATTTATTTTTCACCTTTTGAATTATAGCTATGGTGGTGTGGAGGGTTTGGATTTGAACTTTCCTGATGGCTAATGATGTTGAGCATGTTTTCATGTACTTATTGGCTATGCATGTATCTTCTTTGATGAAATGTCCATTCAAATTCCTTGCCCATTTTAAGTTGTTATTTGTCTCTTTAATGTTGAGATCTAAAAATTCTTTATATAATATATTCTGGATAGAAGACCTTATCAGATATATGATTTACAAACTTTCTTCTGTGAGTTGTCTTTTCACTTTGTTGAGAGTGTCCTTTGATGCACAAAAGTTTTTTGAATTTTGATGAAGTCCAATTTATCTATTTTTTCTTT